ATATGAGATTATCTGATTGTCTGCTTCTCTGCTTCATAAGAAAGACACACCATACTTCAAGAATATTCCAATCTGAATATTCAACATATAAGATTATCTGATTGCCTGATTCTCTACTTCATAAGCAAAACTGTCCATACTTAGAGAATATTCAAATCCAAATATTTGACATAAAAGAGTATCTGATTGTCTGCCTCTCTGCTTCATAAGAAAGACAGACCATACTTCAAGTATATTCAAATCTGAATATTCAACATATAAGATTATCTGACGGTCAGATTTTCTGCTCCGCAAGAGACACATACCATACATAATAAATATTCTTATATCAGTATGAAAAACATTGGAATACTGGAAAAAATCTAAACATGTAACCTATTTAGATTTGACATCAGCTGATATAAACCACATAAAGCGATTTGGTGGTATATATACACGACAAACATTTTTATATCGTACACTTAATAAATCACTCAAAGACTCGGACTACAACGTTCTCTTTGCACTTCGATTCGTTATTGCCGATCTACATAAACAATTAGCAGGGGAACACAAAAAATTTCGACGTTCACATAACAGTGACGATCCTATTTTTCGTGTTTATCGGGGACAAGCGATTCCCATCGATGAGCTGAATTTGATTCGTAATAGCATTGGTGAATTCTTGTCAATCCAAAGCTTTTTGAGCACAAGTACCGATCCAGAAGTTGCCATTTCTTTTGCCAAACAAGTTATGCCCACATCTGAACTAACACGTATTGTGTTCCAATTTAATATTGATACGCGGGTCTTGACGAAACCTTATGCTGACATAAAATGCTTAAGTTATTATAGAGAGGAAAAGGAAGTTCTGATTATGTTGGGATCGATTTTCAAAACGAACTGAAAGATTTTTAATGGCACAGTTGAAAAAAGAAACCAACGGCGGGGTATTTTCACTTGGCTACTTACTCTACCGACAGGGAAATTATGAGCAAACAAAGAAGTATTTCGAACAACTATTAGGTGAATCATCGATCAGTGATTTCGATAAAGCACATTGTTATCATGGACTCGGCGGTGTTGCCGTCGCACTCAAACAATATGATGAAGCACTCGTCTATTATCAAAAAGAACTTGAATTATGGATGAAAATGTATCGTAGTGGTCAACATATAACTATTGCTCAAACTTACATGGGTTTCGGTCAAGTTTACTGCTTCAATCAAGAACTTGACTCAGCATTAGAGTGTGAACAAAAAGCACTTTCTCTTCTACCTGATAATCATATTGATCGTGGCAAAGCTTATGGTATAATGGGTCGTGTTTATCGAGCTAAAAGAATGCATGACTTATCTCAGGACTATTATAAAAAGCAACT